GATGTTGTACAGTTGCAGGTGTGGGTAGAAGAAAACGAAGTGGTGTGTCTACAATTTGTGGAGCGGGGAGGTGGGGGGGGGGGGGGGGTGTTTGTAGTGTCTGAGGGGAAATGAGAAAAAAAGGGGGGGGGGGGGGGGGGGGTGGGTTGAAATTTTCGATTTCGGGATTTTTTGTGGCAGGAAAATTTTGGCAAGTATTTTTTTTTTATTTAAGTAGGGATTTTTTTGGGTATTCCAAAACTAATATTTTGTATTTTCCGTGTTATATCATTTAATGCTTTCTGGAAATTTTTATGGCTCGGAAATTCGGCATGGGACTTTTTGGGGTTAAATTTTGGTCTAAGCATTTTTTGGGGTTTTGTTTGAATCCCAAGGAATTTTTTGGGGGTTTTGATATTTGCCCCCATTCGATCATTCCTGTCACTTGAAATCTAGCGTAGCCCCCCTGGGGTGGAAACCACCACTTAGAATCGTTTGTTCAAAACTCTGACAAATGTTCGCTGAACTTCAGTTCCATCAGTTTGTCTACATACACCCTGCCTCCTCATTGGACAAAAGCCTCTTGTTGGATAAGCTTCTTGCCGTCCCTGTCGGCGGTTTTTTCTCGCCAGAATGCTCTCATTGCTTTGTTCGTTTCTTATGGGTTCTTGACAGGATGTTGCTGTTTCTTGAACGGCTGGTGGTCTCGTTTCTGGTCGGTTTAGGTCTAGGGTTTGCTGTATCGGTGGAAGTCTTTTATAATTCCTTAATGTGCTTGATGCTTGCTCTGTCGGCTGCGATCTTGTTTTTATCGGTGGTTTTGCTGCTGGTGGTGGGGTCGGTACCCATCCGGGCTGTCTCAACGTTTGTTGAATCGGCACTAACTTTGTTTTCCTTACGCCCTGTCCCGAACATTGCTGAATGGGAACCCATGTGGTTTCTTTTGCAGGTTCTCCTGGGTTCTGTTGAATGTGCACCCTCCTCACTTGCTTATCAAGTTGTTCCGGAGTTTGTTGAGTTGCTAGCAGTCTTGTTTCTCGAGCGGGCTGTCCCGAGGGATTTTGAATTTGGGACCGTCCTGAGGGTTCATGCTGTATGTTTGTCCACATTTTTGTTTTTGCGGTTTGCCGCGTGTTGTTTTCAGCCGCAACCGGTACCGATTCTGTCAGCCTGTGTCCCGAGATTTGGTTAGTCAGAACTAATCTTGTTTCTGTTTCCCGCTGTCCGGAGGCTCTTGGAGTATTGAAAGTCTCAGGCTGAATCGGGATCCACCTCATTTTGCTCGCGGGATGCCCCGTGAAATCTTCAGTTGCAACCACTGTCGATTCTCGTGTCGGTTGTCCTGAGTGTCGGTTGTGCTGAAGGTCCACCAATCTCGGCTGTGCCGAGCTTGCTGGAATAAATAGCCAATTTTTTTCTTTCGCTGGTTGTTTGGAGACTTGCTGAAAAGGCGCCATTCTACTTTCTCTTTCGGCTAAAATTTTTATCCTTGAACCGTCAGATATAGTTTCAATTCTTTGTTCATCCTTGTCTCTAATCAATGGGAATGATTTCGTTTCTCTCACTTGTTGCTTTGAGGATTTTTGAGACGGTAGTGATTTTATTCGCGTCGAAGCGTTGTGGTAGATCACCTCTTCCCTTAAAACTAGAATTCTAGCGGCTGATTGAATCGAAGAGGGAGATAAGTTTTTCGCTGATTGCTCGACCGGGTTTTTATTACCGCTCTTTACCGTATTCTTCATACACTGTTCGCCTCTCCCTCTTTTTCTTTTACCATTGTGATATGTTTCCTCGTAATTATTGCACTGAATTTGGTACGCGCATCCATGGTCGCTCGATAGAGTGGTGCTGTTCAGTCCCCCATTCTTCATACAGCACTCGCTGCCGTTTCTTTGCGTTCTGTGGCAATGATTCTCGGAGTGTGACAATTCGTGAGGGTTTAAACCATCGTCGACCATGTCACCCTTTCTTTCAGAGTTGAACGGTCCGTTCTTGTTGCTTTTGTACTCATTGCCCGTATAACATTCGCCATTTCTTTGCCTTCTGTATTCGTCTTTCACTCGGATGGTCCCTGTGCGAGATGCTTGCTCTGAAATACCATTCTGGCATTCAGTATCTTCACTGGCCATTTGTCTGTCGGTTGGTTGTTCAGTGTCTTTGAGGACGCCAGGATTACTTGAACTTTGGGAATTACACGTATTAATTCTTTCGGGGATAGGATGAATTTGATTCTCAATACATTTTTTTCCGTTCAATAGGTTTTCTCGTTTTTGTCGATGAAATTTGCTAAGTTCGAGCAAGGATGGAGGTTCGCGTTTTGATTGCATAATGGCGCTCAACTTCGACGGTTAATTTTGCCACTTAGCGGATTACACGCACATTTATTCACCGAGTTTTGATTGCTTGACGTTTAAAATAGCGGTCTCCTTTGTGTTACCATTTATGAATTGAAGAACCTTTAATTACGTTAACCACACCATTGTTTGTGCACGTTGAAATCGGTCTTTTTCATAGCTTTAAATTTAGTTCTTTAAGCAGTGAGTATCCTCGTTACTGTTCCTCAAAAATCTGAGCAGCATTTAATCGATAAACTTTGCTAAGCTGAAGCAAAAAATTTTGTTCCGTGGCGCTCAATAATGACGGTCGTCTTTGTGTGCAGCTTGGAGGATTAGAAACCCTTCAAATGCTTTAATTACGTCTTGTTTGCTTAACAGTGCGGCGATAAATAATTTTTGAAATGGCTAATGTTGAAATACTTATGCGGCTGCGAATGACATTATTGCACAGACCTTTAAAGATAATGGAAAATGTTACGTTCTTTTTATTGCTTTATTTTTAAATAATAATAATAATAATAAATAAGTAATGGTAGCAGGACTGAGTGGAGTCCAATTCGGTCTGTAATCATAACTATAACAAAATTCTCAAATCTGATTGGTTCTCAACTGCCCTGATTTCAGCCTTAATAGGACAGTACGCGTCATGCCTGAGTAATTGGACAGTACGCGCCATCACGCGCGCGCTTAAATGGCTTTTTTTTTCATTGCTAGCGAAAAAATCTTGGAATTTCTTGTATTTTGATTTAAAAAAGCCCTATATATCACAAATTTTGTTAAAGTTATGATTAATTGGTAACAGAACTTCGTGTCGTCCAATTCGGTCTGTAATCATACTCGTGATTAAACAAATCGGACTCCCGCTACGCGGTCGTCCGATTTTGTTAATCACTCGTATGATTACAGACCGAATTGGACTCCACTCAGTCCTGTTACCATTACTAATCATAACTATAACAAAATTCTCAAATCTGATTGGCTATCAACTGCCCTGATTTCAGCCTTAATTGGACAGTTTAATAGGACAGTCACGTCATGCCTAAGTAATTGGACAGTAAGCGCCATCACGCGCGCGCTTAAATGGCTTTTTTTTTTTTCACTTCTAGCAAAACAAAGTTTCGAATTTCTTGTGTTTTGATTTAAAAAATAGTCTGTTATATTACAAATTTTGTTAAAGTTATGATTAATTGGTAACAGAACTTCGTGTCGTCCAATTCGGTCTGTAATCATACTCGTGATCAAACAAATCGGACTCCCGCTACGCGGTCGTCCGATTTTGTTAATCACTCTCGTATGATTACAGACCGAATTGGACTCAACTCAGTCCTGTTACCATTACTATTCATACGAGTGATTAACAAAATCGGACGACCGCGTAGCGGGAGTCCGATTTGTTTAATCACGAGTATGATTAATAATGGTAATAGGACTGAGTGGAGTCCAATTTGTTTACTCACGAGTATGATTACAGACGGAATTGGACGACACGAAGTCCTGTTGCCAATTCATCATAACCGCTACAATTTTCGAGAAAATAAATGCATTCTTTTTTGGTGAAAGAGCTTTTAATACCAATGTTCAAAATGAGAAAAAATATGACCGGCAAAGACATTGTCTAATGTTACAAATTCGTCCATTTTGGAAAATACCCAGTTTGGTAGGGTAAGTGTGGTTGTTGCTATGGTTATTGTGACAACTTCTGTGATTGGTGGATTTAGCTGAGTGCACTTAATATGATTGGCTAATGTAACTGTCAGATTACAGTTGTGCGATGACACTGTCCGATTACAACCCTACACAATGATTAGTGAAACGTAAGGCAGCTCATGCACCAATTAAATTTGAGGAAATTATAATGGTTATGATTATTATAATAATAACAATAATAATATTAAAATTAATTTGTACTTTCTATTATTCGCACATAATAAGTTATTAGTGATAGTTCCGAATGAGGGCCGCACCCACAGTCACATAAGCGCCGCGCCGATCTATCAAGTAAATACGGCATGAAATGTGACATTATTATTCATTCAAAATATTTCTCTGTTTCTGATTGCCTCCAATCGACGGCTAATTCCCCATAACCAGCTGACGCTTACCATGTTGGGAAGATGCGAGCGATATAATAATAATAATCATAATGATAATGATAATGATAATAGATTGATAATATTAGACAGATTGATAATATTAGAGCCTGTCCGAATTAATTTTTTTTTGCTTGTTTGTTTGTTTTTTTGTTTGTTTGTTTTTTTCTGATTTAAAACTCTGGACTGCCTGCAAGAGTTAGTTACCGCATCTGAGCCGCAAGAAATGTATTTGTGAAATCGTTATTGACACAGTGATTGCTATTTTTATTATTTATACTATTTTCAATGTTATATAGTGCTTAATTCTTACTCCAAATATTTCTCTAAATGATGTACATATTTTTTTAAAGTTTAATAAAATTATTACTTATTAAAATTAATAATAATAATAATAATAATAATAATGGTCGTTATTAATTCATATGATAAAATCTGCTTATCTTATGTTACAAAACTTCCAATTTTGAACTAAGTTGCATTATATTAATTACAGAGCTAATTGTATATTGTTTAAAAAATCCAAAAGTTATTCGCTTATTTCCAAAATATAAATTACAAAGCTAGGTCATATTTAAAAATGAGGCGATTAAAATAGTACTTCTTCACTCGATCCGTGTTTAATTTCGGTCGGTGGCTAGATTTGTATCTTAGATTGTATTCGCAAGAAAGGCACCGAACAAAACAAACAGAGAGCCAATAACCTCCTTTGTTTTTATTGTCCCAGTGAATTTTTGTTTTTTTACGTTCCAGCATGAAGTATTGTGACTGACCATCTGCAAAACCAAACCTTACAGAAGTTCAGTTTTCGTCCACTATTGTAGACGTTGTGTTGAAATTTGTGCCTACAAACGTTTGTTCAACACTCTTACAAAGGTTCTTTGAACCTTAGTCTTGTCAGTTTGCGTACATACACCTTGCCTCCTCGTGTGACAATAACCTCCTGCTGGATAGCCTTCTTGCCGTCCCTGTCGGCGGACATTCCTCGCCAGAGTTCGCTCATTGCTTTGTTTGTTTCTTGTCGGCTCTTGACAGGATCTTGCTGTTTCTTGAATGGCTGGTGGTTTTGCTTCTGATTGGCTTAGGTCGAAGGTTTGTTTTATCGGTGGAAGTCTTGTATAACTCTTCAATATGCTTGATGCCTGCTCTGTTTGCTGCGAGCTTGTTCTAATAGTGGGTTTTTCCGCTGCTGCTGGGGCCGGAACACATCCGAGCTGTCCTAAAGTTTGTTTAATCGGCGCCAACTTCGTTTTCCTTACGCGCTGTACCGAACATTGCTGAGGGGGAACCCATGTGGTTTCAACTGCAGGTTTTTCTGGTTGTTCTGATCGATTTAGGTCTAGCGTTTGTTGTATTGGTGGAAGTCTTGTATAACTATGTAACTGTAATGTGCTTGATGCCTGCACTGGCTGTCCCAACGTTTCTGTTGCGGGCAGTCCCGAGGGTTTTTGAATGTGAAGCTGTTCTAAAGATTCCTGTAGAATTGGTATCCTCGTCTCTTTTCTTAACTGATCAAACGATGATGTCGATTCGGTCGACTGTTTTTCCGAGATTTGGCGAGTCAGAACAGATCTTGCTTCTCTTTTGGATTGACCCGAAGGTCTCTGAATCTGAGGATAACCTAAGTTTTCGTTTTGAATCGGGACCCCCACAATTATTCGTGCGGAATGCCCCGCTACTTGATCAGTTCCGTTCAATGTCGAATTTCGCATCGGTTGTCCCGAGGTATGTTGAACAGAAACACAGCTTGGCTGAGACGAGCATTTTAAAAGACGTAGACCCCTTGTTTCTTTTGCCAACTGTTTTGGTTCTTCTTTTGGTTGATTTGGGGGTTGTTGAGACTGTAGTGATTTCATTCGTCTCGGAGCGGTTTGATACAAAACTAAAGTTCCAGCGACTTGTTTGTTCGGTGATTGGTCTTCACTTAGCGTTTGGTCGCTTAAAACAACAAGAGACACAGACGGTATGGTTGGCGAGCATTTTTCGCTGATGTTCTTCAAATCTTTCTTCATGTACCAGTCGCTGTTCTGGCGGTTGCTTTTGCCATTTTGATATGCCTCCTTGTGATGGGTAGAGTGAAGTTTTTGCGTGTATCTATGGTTAAACTTCCTTTCAGTGTCCATTAATATATCCTCATTTCCCATACACCATTCGTGGTACCTTCGCGTTTTGTAGACATGACTCTCGAAGTGAAACAATTCCACCATGTCGTCGCCGCTTTCACTGTTTGACGGTCCGCTCACGATGTTGCACTCATTGCCCACATACCATTCGCCATTTCGTTGCCTTCTGTATTCATCGGTCCCGTAATTGTGTGCCATACCCTGATGGCATTCAGCGTTTCCTTGTCCTTCGATACCTAGCTGACTTGATTGATGAGTATTTCGCCTTTCAACTCTTTCAGAAAAAGGATGAATGGAATTCTCAGAACATCTGTCTGTGTTAAATCGTTCTGGTCTTTGCCTGTAAACTTGGCTAAGCTCGAGCAGGCATGAAGGTTCACGTTTTGATTGCATAATGGCTGCTCTACGATTATGAAATGTACGTATTGTGCGGTACATATTTATACAGAAAATTACCATTTGACTCACGTTTTGACTAAGTGGCGCACGTGCCCCTACAGCACGTTAAACTTACTCGCACAATACGCCCAAGTCTGCGTTGGTGTGAACTTTCTTCTTGCGCGCCGCTCACTGTCTTGTACCAATCGTTCTCGTCCCTTTAACATGCTATGCGATTGGACAAGCCTATTTTTGAGTGCGCGCCTGTCGTCACCGCCGTTTCGTTGTCTTTGCTAAATCTGCCTATTGGCTGTTATGTAACTATGAAATGAACGTATTGTAAGCCGACAAAGCACGTTAAACTTACTCGTGAGCTTACACGTGCTTTTTTCTCGCGCGC